AAAAAAAAAAAAAAAAAAAAACTAATCTTTAAGCCAGATAGCCCTCTCAAAAAAAAAGTCAGCCAATAATATTACCCACTAATAGTGTTTGTTTTAAGCCTCAAAACCTGCCCTTTAATCTTCCACCCCTAGTAGTGTTGACTCATAGCCTTTGTCATTGACTGTGTGCTAAATAAAAGCCCGAGGCCAGCACGTAATGGCCAGCAGTCGCAGCTGTTTACAGCACTCTGCAAAGAGTCTATAAACAGCCCACTCAGTCAAACTAGCAAAACATAGTATCTGTGTGTCAGTATACTTTATTCATCCATCATTAAGTCAGAGTCTGCAAGACAGACCCCAACAAGTAGTAACCCCAACACACATGATCACAGAGGACTTCCTGTAGGAGGTGATATTTTTGCTGGCCTTGTGGGGAAGGAAGAAAACATGTCAGGAGAGTTGAATGAGAAGGTACGGGTGCAGAAGCAAGGGCCAGGTCCAGCCTCCGAAAAAGGGGAAGACCGAGGTAGGCAGGGAACTTTTGGATCTTATTCTTCAGGCATTGGCGGGGGGCCACTGAAGGTTGTTGGGTCAGGATAGTCATCATTTGTACTGAGTTGGGATAGAGTCCCCTGGCATGTATGCAGGAGAGGGAACGGGGAGGGAGGTTGGAGCTTCCTGGGGGAGTAAGCTCTGTTCAGATAGAGGTCCTTGGGCCTGGCTGAGACCGTCACTGGCACAGGGAAGGAACTGCCTGCAGTCCTTTAAACCTGCCATTCCCAGAGCCATCCACAATGGCCCTGTGACTTTCGATACTGCCTGGCCCTGCCCCTCCCTGAGCCTTTCCAGCCACAGGCACAGCACTGAGGAACAAAGGGACCAGTGGGAAAGCAGGTTTCAATTAGGCCAGCGAGGCCTTAGAGGAGAGGGCACAGCCAGCCAGCCTTACCTCTGTGACTTTGGGGTCAAAGCTTCCCTTCCGGTGTGTGTTTCCTTGTCAGCAAATCAGGCTGCTTGGAAATCCATTCTTGCCCAAGGAAAAAAAAAAATTGAGTGCATTTGTTTTTTCTCTTTCTTTCCTTTCTTTCCTTTCTTTCTTTCTTTCAAGACAGAGTCTCACTCTGTTGCCTAGGCTGGAGTGCAGTGGCGTGATCTCGGCTCATGCAACCTCTGCATCCCGGATTCAAGCAATTCTCCTGCCTCAGCCTCCCAAGTAGCTGGGATTCCAGGCAGGCACCACCATGCCCAGCTAATTTTTTTGTGTTTTTAGTAGAGACGGGGTTTCACCATGTTGGCCAGGCTGGTCTCGAACTCCTGACCTCTGGTGATCCACTTGCCTTAGCCTCCGAAAGTTTGTGAGCCACTGAGCCTGGCCTCTTTTTTCATTTTGAGACAAGGTCTCACTGTGTCACCCATGCTGGCAGGAATGTCAGCATATCTCACTGCAACCTCGAACTCCTAGGCTCAAAGGATCATCTTACCTTAGCCTCCTGAATAGCTGGGACTACAAAAGTGTGTCACCACACCTGACTAATTTTTTTTTTTTAAGAGATGGAGTCTTGCTATGTTGTCCAGGCCAGTTTTGAACTCCTGGCCTCAGGCAGTCCTCCAGCCTCCACCTCCCCAGTGCTGGGATTACAGGCTTGAGCCACCACGCCCAACCTGTGCATTTATTTAAGTAGTATCTCCTGCATTCTTTCTTTGGGGTTGCAGGTAGGGGAGGTATACAGAATAAGACCCCCCATTCCTCACCCCTGCTAAACTTCGGATCATTCTAGTGACCTGAAGAGTAAAGACTAAACAGCACCAGCCACAGTGGCTTACTGTAATCCCAGCACTTTGGGAGGCTGAGGCAGGAATTGAAGAACAGCCTGGGCAACACAGCAAGATCCCATCTCTACCAAAAATACAAACATTAACCAGGTGCCCTGGTGCACGCCTACAGTCCCGGCTGCTTCTTAGGTGGCCAAGGCGGGAGGATCGCTTGAGCTTGGGAGTTCGAGACAAGCCTGGGAAGCATAGTGAGATCCCGTCACTACAAAAAATTTAAAAACTTACCCAGCCATGGTGGTATGTCCCTATAGTCCGAGCTACTTGGGAGGCTGAGGTGGGAGGATCACTTGAGCCTGGGGTGTTGAGGCTGTAGTGAACCGTGATTACGCCCCTGTACTCCAGCCTGAGCAACGGAGCAAGACCCTGTCTCAAAAAAAAAAAAAAAAAGAGTAAGGACCCATTTTATAGCCGGGCACAGTAGCTCACACCTGTAATCCCAGCACTTAGGGAGGCTGAGGCGGGCCGATCACAAGGTCAGGAGATCGAGACCATCCTGGCCAAGATGAAGCCCCGTCTCTACTAAAAATACAAAAATTAGCTGGGCATGGTG